AATGGGAAAGCCCCCCTGGAGTTGGAAAGTTCATGTGCATATGCGGGCGCACAAGAAGGCTCGTCTGCAGCAATAAGTAAGAGAGCTCTTGCAACCTTCCAAACATGGAGCAGGACTAATTACGACTGGCTGCATTGATACGTATCAATCACAAGGCAGGGGCTCCTTAACCTTGTAAAACAAAGTAAAATGGCACTTCATGGAGGGCCATGAGTTTTCATTCGGTTAACTCTTATTAATGATGCTGTCCTATACCCCGCAGAAGATGCCGATCGCTATGTCCATGGCTGTTTCTCTAATTGCTGTCATAGAACGTAGCGGAAAAAGTAGCTCTCTTCAATCTTCAAGCGACACTCCCCAGATGTGATCAAGAAACAAAGAGAAGCTTGCTTACTGGTATCTTTTATTAAACGGGCAAGAGGCATAAGACTTGTATCGGTTTCTACACCTCCCTCACATCCTGACAAAGCGATACCGGTCCTTCTGTATGTGACTGTGGTTTAAACGCTGTCATAGTTCGTATCACAACATGAAAAAGAGCTCTCTTCAGTCTTCAAAGACTACAGGTGACATCGTAGAATTCTCTTCTGGGTTAGCAGGAATCTTCATGTCTCTTGCTTGATAGGTATGAGGATGTCTCATAGGAAACCGAATAGGAAGTCTCCATTGTTTCTGATGATAGCAAGATGCAAACAGTTTCCCACAGTCTTCAACATGAAATGAATTAAGTTCTAGATAGGCTTGCGCTGCTACAGTGATGGATCTGTAGGCGGTGCAGCTTGCCGAAGAATGGCCAAAACCATTTTCGAGAAAGCTCAGGTACTGGAGCCAGTGCTGCTGGTGCCATAGATCTACCAACCAACGAAAACATATATGAAATAAACTCTGCAACGACTAGGCCTTTTTCATACTTACCTAACAAGAGCAATGAAAACCGTTGTTGTTCCAGAAGACACATAAATCATTACTTCCAGTCCTTGACAACGGTTGAAAGCACACAATTATCTTGTGATGCAATATATCCTGTCCTGGACATCAGAAAACACTGTGATGCCCAAAAAGCTTCCAAAATTTCCAGCCCTGAAACTCACGAAACACTGTACTGCTCAAAAAAATCCAAAAATTCTGGCATCTATGGCCAGGCCGGGGGCAGAGTCCTTAAGAGTTTGGAATTTTTTGAGCATAGCAGTGTTTCGTGCGTTGCATGGGTTGGAAAAGTTGATTTTTTTGAGCATTACATGTTTTGTGCGGTTGAACCGCACCTCGTCCGGGTGGATTTCCATGGCTTCGTGTGCGGCAAGATTTCAATAGGCTTGGAGTCACACTTGATGGTGCACAGGTGCGCACTTATCACATATCGCATGTCCGTCTTCACTAGACCCTCTCATAAACACTCACTGGCTCAAGATTTCGGCTGTGGGAGAACGAGACGGACCAGGCGGTCACCAGGTTTGGGGGCGGACAAGACACGCGCATCATGAGCATCAGCGGTGCTGCTTGGCAGTGCAATAACTGGAGCCGCTACCCCATGACCTCGTTGTTGAGTGGTGCATTAAGCAAATTCATTTCTTTTTGACCATGATCAATCTCAAAGACCATTTCTAACCAGGCGGATGCACATATACATATCTGTCGAAAAGACGCTATTCCTTGTGCGCGCCGGCTCACCTTGCAGGTATCTGACTGGAATTTCAAGTACTTGACCGGAGTAGAGGAGTATAGATGCATACACATATGCACATATACATATCTGTTTTTTTAATCCGCTATTCCTTGTAAGTGCCGGCTCACCTTTCAGGTGTCTGACCGGAGTAGAGGTATATACACGCATACACACAGGCACATCTGCATATCTATTCTGTTTGCCGTTATTCCTTGTGTTGCTGCTGCTTTGTGCTTATTGACTTTCCTTATATATTTCTTCCCTTTGTTTCCTCGAGTTCTTGGTTGCTTGCTTGTTTGTTCGTTTGCTTGCGTTTTTGCCTTCTTTTTTGGCGCCCTTGCCTTCTTCTTCCCTTCCTCCCTGCTTTCCTTTCCCCCCATTTCCTCCCTTTCTCTCGCTCTCCCTCTTCCTCTTTCCCTCTCCCTCGCCCTCGCCCTCGCCGCCTCTCCCTCTGCCTCTCCCTCTCCCTTTGCCTCTCCCTCTCCCTCTCCCTCTCCCTCTTCCTCTTCCCTCTTCCCTCTTCCCTCTTCCCTCTTCCCTCTTCCGTCTCCCGTCTCCCGTCTCCCCTCTCCCCTCTCCCCTCTCCCCTCTCCCCTCTCTCCTCTCCCCTCTCCCCTCTCCCCTCTCCCCTCTCCCCTCTCCCCTCTCCCCTCTCCCTCTCCCTCCCTCTCCCTCCCCGTCCTCCCTCCCCCCTCCCTCCCCCTCCCTCCCCCCTCCTCCCTCCCCCCTCCCTCCCCCCTCCCTCCCCCCCCCCTCCCCCCTCCCCCCCCCCCCCCCCCCCCCCCCCCCCCCCCCCCCCCCCCCCCCCCCCCCCCCCCCCCCCCCCCCCCCCCCCCCCCCCCCCCTCCCCCCCCTCCCCCCTCCCTCCCTCCCTCCCTCCCTGCCCCCCCTTTCCCAAGCAAAAGCTAAAAACAAAAAAAATTCCCCAAATAAAACAAAAAAAATTCCTCAAATAATTCCGGACCCTTATAACCATACCTACTAAGTCCCATGATCCTCCAAGTAAACCCCCAAGCTCCCCACCCTAGACCCACCAACCGCAAAGCCTAACAGCAGCAAGAGCAAACGAAGCAGTTTCGGGCTTAGGCCTTGAGGGTTTCCGGGTTTAGAGGGACCCTATGACTCTAAGGGCGGTTCCGTCAATCGTGACAAGACCCACTTCAGGTATAGTTCTTCAGTGAGTTAGAATTTAGTGGTATTGGAGCCCCCCTGGCACTTCCTGGCACGGGTCTAAAGCCCAAAAACTTTAAGTCCGGAACCCCTAAACCGACGAAAAACCCAGAGGCCTAATCCCCTAAACCGTCAGCATTTGCACAGCTCAAGACTCTGCCGTGCTCCAGCCCTTGCAATCATGGAGGTGCCAACTGAGATGAAGGCCGGACATGGAATTAGGATTTGGGTTTCGTTGTTAGGGTTCAGGGTTTTGGATGTAGGATGAAGGGGTTTACCTTTTAGGGTTCAGGGTTTAAGATCTAGGGTTTGGGATTCGAAGCTTCATGCAACCACAGTAATTAAGTGTTTCGGGTGCAGGGTGTAGGGTTTAGGGCCGGTGCCAAGAGAGGCTTGGGTAATCAGAACAGTTTAACCATCAGCACGGGTTACCTGTACTGTACATACCCACAGGATACAGGGTTTAGGTTTTTGGCCACGGTATGCCGTTGTAGTATACACTTTGGCCCCAATGTACCTACATAGGGACTACTTCAAGGCCAACGTATATACTATTTGGGTGCATGGGCCCTTAGGGATATGGAGTGCTTGAATAAGGTTTGAGAACCCTAAACCCTAAACCCTAAACCCTAAGTCGTGGAGCACAGTACATTGCTTTCAACCCCTGAAAGAAGGTCGACATGCGGAGAACTTAAATCCGAGCATTAAAGGGAACTCCAGAAAGTTGGAATATGGTTTCAGGGTAGGATACCCTATATTTGTTTCCATAAAGGGTCTAGGATAATAATTATATTCCAACTTTCTGGCTTCTACTTTAAACCCTAGACCGAACCGAAACCTCCAAAAGGATCGATCCTCACCGTGGCACAGACATTGGAATTTGTCTCGGGCTTCTCGTTCCAGGGTGTGAGTTTAGTGTGGTTTAAGAGCATAAATGAAGTTTTAGGGCTTGGGATTTATGGTCAGGGTTTAGGGCTGGTCTAAGTGGTTCTTGCCACACTCCGCCACCGGGATGTAGAATCGATGCCTGGTTTGCAAGGATGTGGAATACTGTAGACTTGTGGCGTCGATGCAAAGGCTGCAAACCTAACTATTGGAATAGGGAACCATATAGTCAGGCCGTTAAAAGACCCGGGGTTTATGAATCAAGGCCCTGCAATGTGATTTCCAGGCTTGGCGCGCACATGCCTACGGCGAGGAAGGACCGAATGGGAAGCAGGCTTTGGGCAGACTGAGGAACATTCTACGAAAACAGAGCCGGAGTTTCATCCAAGACTATTCGTCAGGACATGGACCAGCTGCAACATAGACTTGGTTGTCGCAAATGTGCAGTAGTTTCAGGCGTAGTCAAGATCGAACCTCATGCAAAGCTATGCATGTCAGTAGGAAGTCGTGGACATAAATTGTCCAAAGCCCTATAGGACTTTTTGCAATCTTTATGGGAGAACAGAAAAGCCTCATGTCGAAGCCCAATACCTTGAACTGAATCCTCGGGTCTATGGCCCGCCAGCAGTTCTTAACCCCACATCGCCTACAGTAGAAGCCGGAAAGTTGGAATATTATTATCGTAGCCCCTTTAAGGTAAATTATAGGGGATCCTGCCATTAATCCATATTCCATCTTTCTGGAGTTCCCTTTAAAGCCTTAAGCCCTGAAGCCTAACCCTCATGTTGCACCTTGAGTCAGACTCCCGACCCGCGAAAGTCGCCGAGCTCAAACACCAGGCCAGGGATGACCCTAACTGGCACCCAAACCCTAAACCCTAAACCCTAAACCCTAAACCTGTGCTTGGGATATCCTTACTCCATTGAAGACTCAGGGAAGGCGACATGGGTGATCCCAACCTTCTATGGTGTTGATGAGATGTGTTCGGACGGGGGTCCTTGTCAATTCCGCATAAATATACTGCACGATACCCGTATATTGTGTGTAAGTGTCAGACTCTCATCGTGTCTACCCTAAACCTCCCAAGCCAACGCGTCCGGAACCCAACACCCATCCTGGTTTCGTTTGCAAATCCTCAACTTCGTGATTCTTGGCAAGGAACATGGGAAACAGATGTCGTATCCCCTTCTATACAGTTTTCGGTGAGGGCATGGGTTCAGGGGTTTCAGGGGTTTGAGTTTGGGGTGTCGGTGAAGGAAACCCTGCCCACACCATCGGCAAGATGACCCTCGACACCATTCCCGTCCCCGAGCCGAAGAAGGGACAGGCGGGTTAAGGGTGGCGAGGTTTAGCAGTGCCCGGTTCAGGGTTTAGGGTGGAACCCTTCATAAGCTGCTGGGTTCGTTGGTTTCATAGACGGGATTTGATCCCGAACCCCTATGTAAGTCCTAACCCCGAGGTAGCCTTAATGGAGCCCGGTAGGTTGTCAATTCAACCGTGGGTAGGCCATAAATACAGGGCAGTTGGGCTGCGCTGGTAGGAAGGATGTTGCCTGCCAGGCTCTGTGACTTAGCGGAAGGATTTAGATTGAAGGTTTAATGAGCTTCGATTTAGGGCTCAGCGTGATTCTCTGTCGTCTGATTCAGTTGGACATTTAGAGTTGTGCTGATGCGTTTCGTGTTTGGGTGCTCATGTCCAGCGGGTGTTGAGCTGAAGCCATGCTTCTTGACCACTTCTGCTGGGCCTATGATGATGGTACGACATCTTTTTGCGGGCAGTTCTCCGGTTCTTGCGCTACAAGTTTCATGGCACTGTTTGTAGATGTCCAGCTCCTGAAACCACGATTCCGACACCGAAAGTTCCTTTTCGACTCGCCATTGACAGGAATCGAGCGGTAGGATATGGTAGGTTGAGGCAGCTCCCGCAGTTCAATCCCTAGAACCGATCAACCCTGCTTGCATGTGCTGTCTCGAGACACCCCCAAGTGCCGAAGTCATAGGCCCGGAATCATCACTTAGGGCCTTCGAAAGCAACACGGTAGCAATAAAACTGATGAGACAAAACAAAGGCCCAACAGTAGCAGTGGCGGCGGCAGTGTAGTTGGTAGCGCAGCAGCGGCACCACCAGCAGCAGAAAGAGGGGTCTAGTTGGTTTCAGCTTGTTTGACTGCTACCAAATCGCGACTAAAAACTTAAGCCTTAAACCCCTGAGCCCTAAACCCATCTAAACCCTAAATCGTAAGGTTTGCGTCCCTATAATGGAAGAGGGTCCTGCACAGACTGGAGCCAGGGTTTAAGACAAAGACGCTCTGCAGCCTTGCTTTCTGAGGGCGTGGAGGCCCCCCGGACACGCACATCGCAGTCCCAGCCCTGCGCAGACACACATGCATCAGTGGTTTTCTCTCAATGCCGCCCGGAATTCCATGACGGCAAGCGTGCACCTTTGCACAGCGGGTGCACCCGAAGCCTGGACTTACAAAGAGATACGGCCTGGTGCCCAAAGGATTGATAGCTAATGGCTCAGCTTTACTAGAATGCCCAGTAGTACCCTTATTCGTCCTAGGTTCCTTATAAAGTTACCCAATACCAAAAAGAGAGGCCTTTGTACTCTTATGTTACTGGGTATCCTAGTTTATTTGAGTCGTATCAAGCCCTAGCCTGAACCTGAAACCCCCAACAGAGGCGGCCTCCATGAGTCCAATAGGGTCTGCGTTTGGCATGATAATGCCTATAATGCCTTATGAGGGCCTTATGCATTAACCCTAGGAATAGTGTTGGTACCTGTAAAATTCCCTATATTGCCCCGACCACTACCCTCCGAGGAAACTAAAGCCCTTAACAGTCAGTTTAAGACGTTAGAATGCTAGCTGCAAGCCTTGGTAAGCCACTTGGGTAGTTGTCAAAATTGGGGTCCCTTTTGGGGTACCCTAAAAAATAGGTGCCGTATTATATTAGGGGCCCAAGAAGGGACCATAATTTTGACAACCACCCACTAGGACTTTCGGCCCCACGATCTCCCGAAACCCGAAACCCCAAACTCTCGTCGCCTTTTGAATCCAAGACGCTAGGCCTCTGGAACATTTCATATGTTCGCTTTTTGGGCTTAATGGGACCCTATTTACGAATATTATTCAGGAGCTTTCAAGTGCCAGCCTAGGACACTGTACCCTACAAAGTTTAGCCCGGAGCTGATGCGGCCAGGTCCTCCTCAAAGTCCAGTTGGCTGCCGTCAATCCGATCGAGCTTCGGTTGCTCTGGTCGTACCCAGAGACTTAAACGTTTGGGGTTCGGAGCTTTCGGGTTTAGGGTTTTACTTGGAGGTTCAGGGGTAGTTATAAGTAGGGTTATAAGTTTTCTAATATGGGTTCCATGTATAGTTACCCTACTTATAACCCTACTTATAACTACCCATGAACCTCCAAGTAGAGCTTACATAATTAAGGTTTAGGGGTTCATCGGCTTAGGGTTTCAGAACGAACCCTGGATCGTCATTGCCTTATTACAGGGACCCCTACACAAGAACCTCTGGTTTGTTGAAACTCTTCAAAACGCATCGCTTCAAGACCATATTGAAACCCTTGCCTTTTCTAACCCCTGTGGGCAAACCTCATATACTTCCCATGGATCACCTTCTGTCTGAAGCTCCCACCCTAACTTACCTAAGCCCTAAGATCCAAAGCCTGGACCCTACTTAAAACAAAAAACTAAGCCCCTAATTTTTGTCTGGGTAGTGGGCTGCAGACTTCCGCCGTGGCTGGCAGAACTCATGGGAAACCCGAAAAAGCCCCTATACAACCACATCACAAAGATTCCTTCCAAGGGAACCCTTACAATACTTTGAAGCAAAACCCCCTAAGACACTATTCTTGCCAATAAACACCGCTCTAATGGTTTATGTGCCTCTATCTTATAGCTTTCAACTCCAAATTCTATGTACCTGCAACCCCCTTGAAGCACGACACCCTGAACCCGAGCCTGAAAAAGCTCCAAGCCTTGAGCTTTAACCCCCAAAACCCGAAATTCTAAATCCCAGACCCCCAGAAAAAAATACAGAAACCTGGTAGAACCCCGAGAGTAAATCCCCTTTTTTAAAAACCTTTGTAAGACCCAGTTATGACCCACAAAAACACAATGCTCTGGACACGGAGCTGCAAGCCCCAAACCCCTAAGCCCGAACCTCTGGGAAGCCGTCTTAGGGTTTAGGGTTTAGGGTTTAGGGTCTAGGGTTTAGGGTTTAGGGTTGTCTCCCTTGAGGACTGGAAGCTCTTCAGTGGCGGCCTTCACGGAATCTGCCCCGTAACTTTTCCGAGACTCGGCATCGACCATGCTTGCTGCCATGGCACTTTGGGGGGGTTTAAGGTTTAGGGCGTAGGGGTGTAGGGTTTTAGGGTTTAGGCTTCAGGCTTTAGGGCTTTCGGGTTTAAGGTCTAGGGCTTTATAGTTTGATTAGGGTTTAGGGCTTCCGGGTTTAAGGTTTAGCAGATTGAGTTTTCGGGATTCAATCGGGGCACTCCTACCATTCGTGCAGCCCACAAGAACGGAAGAACGCGATAGTCGCTTTTCAAGAAAACGGTCATCCGGGAGGAAGCTTTGTTGGGCTTCTGAGGAGCATAGAAACCCTAAACCCTAAACCCTAAATTCGGCTAAGGAGTTCGGGTTGAAGGATTCTGTCTTGTAGCAGGGGTTCTGGAGTACCATATTTGAATACTTCCTTAAAGAAACCATTCCCTAAAGGATCATGTACCCATATAGCACTTACTTTGGGCCCAATGTACCTATCTAGGGAGTACTTTAAGGCCAATGTATATACTATATGAGTACATGGACCCTGAGGGATTCTGAGATAGAAGTCTATGCTTCTCTCTCCCTGGATAATTCTACTGAAAGAGAAACACGAAGCCAAGGTACGTTCCGGGCTTTGACGTGGCCGGGAAGGTTGCAAAGGCTCGCAGTCTAAAAGCCTAAAGCAGTTGTAATACTGCAAAATTATTCTAGAATATTCCCGAAGCCTTATTCTGTGCAATTAGTAGTTATAAAGGCCAAGGGGCCGTAACCACTAGAATGGGGCCTAGTGGTCTTTCAAACCGAAGCGTGAGCAACGAAAGTGAGACGAGAGTGACTTTACACTCGCAAGACGATTGGTTTACATAGGGTTTAAGCCTAAACCCTAAACCCTTGGGTTTTGGGCACTAGAAGTGGGCGCTACAATTTGTGGATGGTTTTCTGCAGAGTGCGCTCGAGTTCAGGACATCTAGCATTCCAAGTATGAAAGATGCTGTCAGGTAAATCAACGGGGTCTCGGGGTATGCGACGGTATCCGTACAACATCGGCACCCGGAGCCTTGCAGAATTATGTTGGCAATTCTTCACCATCATTGCCAATTGCCACTGTCAGGTTCCTGCTGCCATCATGGGCCTGTATACTATACCTGTTTTCTGATGTAGGGGTGTAGTTGTTGTGGCTTAGGGTTTGCTGGGCTTTGGGCTTCGACGCTCGGTCCGTTCTGTCGGAAGAACTTACTTACTACAAGGATTTGCGAAACTCGGGCCAACGGCATAGGTCGGGGTCGTGAGTCACGATGGGCCCGGGCCCCCGAGTACGTAGCAGGCTCGGGAGGATTTATGACACGAGCCGAGTGCTGCGAGGTCGACGTACTGTGAACTGTGAAACTGTGTGAGGAAGCAACCCAGCTTGTGATTGTTTTGGGGCATGACTTCAATGGTTCTTTCGTGCTTCTGCTCTGTGTACAACACACGAGGCGCTCTCCTTACCTCTTGCACGGTCGAGTCTTGTCAGTAAGTTGGGGCTCAATCCACGCTGAGCATTCCCTGAGAACCAATTCCTCAGACCCTTACTTTCAGAGTATTCCTTATAAGAGGCCCGAAATAGTTGCACTCCTTAGCACATTGCCATCAGGCTCTTTGGCTTCGCGTTCAGGCTTGAGTGCTTCGGGTGCTTCTTTTGTTACCTTGGAGGCAAACCCTAGCACAAATGGAAGATTTGATCTGAATGCAGTTTGTTCGATGTATCTGTATTTGTGTGTGTGTACATATATATATATATATATATGAATAGGTATGTATGTATGTACGTATGTATGTTTGGATGTTATTTAGTACATATACATACACATGTGCATCAACATATACATATTCATATGCATTAAGATACTGATATTCATACCCGTGTACATATGCCAATACACAAGCATCTACATGAATAAAGTTATGAATGCATACATAAACAAATAAGTATGTGCATGTATTTCATTTGAGCGAGCAGCATAGCAAGCGACAAGTCATCCAAATTTCTAGCCCCTTCCCAGCTATAATTCAACTGAACCCAGCACTCTGTGTGCAAACCCCTGCGGCGCGCTTAAAGAGCGTCGAAAGCTGATTTTGCGGAGGTGGGAGAGGGAGTCACGGACTTCGCCGTCGGAGACGAGGTGGTCGTCGACATCGGCCTTTGCGAGACCTGCTGCGGCTCAGACTCAGATTTGCGGGATAGCGTTCAAGATTCGGAGTTGATTGTAAAGGGTTTCAGGCCTTCGTGGCTCGTGTCATTCAGTCAAGCTCCGCATGCAGTTCTGCGGTCTACAGCTTGGGGTTTAAAGGTTCGCAGACCTTAAACCCTGAACCATAGACCCTAAACCCTAAACCCTGAACTATAGACCCTAAACCCTGAACCTTGAACTCCAAGCCAGAACTTTAACCCCAAATAACCTACCTTGTTAAGGACTTGTCGAAGGAACTGAAATTCAAGTGAGCCATATTAGAAGGGTAGGCTTGCTAGGGTCCAGGTAGACCTTCAGCCCCTAAACCCCTAAACCCTAAACCCCCAAACTCTAAAGCCCTAAACCCTAAAACCCCAAACTCTAAACCCCGAAAACCCTAGACCTTAAACCCAGAACCAGAATGTTCCAGAAAGCACTGCCTTCCAAGGCAACGACAGCCCTGCGGGTCCCTGCGGAGCCTTTGCTGAGCAGCTCTCCCGGCAAGCAGCCGCCATAAAAATGGGCCTTGACACACCAGTAGCGGCATTTCCTTTAGAGTCTTCTTTACAAGGGCTTTATACGGGTATAACGCTTGCAGGGTTGTGCAATTGCTTAGGAATGAAAGGCAATAGTCTTTCGCCTTTTCTGGGTTCCTTTAGCGCTTCGTCGGACCTTTTTGGTGTTTTATCCCTGGCGCAGGCAAATTTTGTAATAGGCTTCCAGTTCAATGCCGCAAACCCTAAATCCTAAACTCCTTGATGGGGCTTAAAGGCCGCCTCGGAAGTGGATGACTCGAAGGCTGTCGTGGGTCGTCAGAAATGTTGCTTGTTAAAGCCCAACCGTTTAGGCCTCCTTAATATGGTTTCCTTATATAAGTCCTTAAAGCGGGTAGCATCTTCGAGATTAAGGTAAACTTTAAGTCCTAACCCTTAACCCTCAAGTGCAACTATGACCGGAAGTTTCGCTCTTTACATCCAATTGCAAATGGGATTTCCAGTAAATGTTGTAAAAACGAAGAGCTTATGTTGCTTGAATGGGTTTATGTAAAGCATCGGCCCGCGACGGTCAGGCATCGGATCCTTCCATTTCCTGCGACGGCATGGATCCTGACATAGAGTCCGGAATACTTCGCAAAACCATTGTAGATCTGCTTTCTTGCAACCCCTCGGAGGAAACCTTGTCTAGTTGTTAAGGCCCCTGTAGTAGCCTGGCTTCACGTATTCGAAGGTTTTTGTTCGTGGTGTTTCTGTTCAGGCAAGGAGCACGAAGTCATTAGTCAGCCATTGTCGGTGGATTTGGTACACTTGCATCGACCCTGCATGTTGCGTCAACATGTCGAATAGAAGGTCTTCAATAAATACCAATACGATTCGGGGGCTCCTTATTAAGATTACAATAAAAGTTCCCTTCAAATCCTCTTCGACTTATGAAGGCTCCAATATGACACCTCGAACCCGCCCCTGAAACGTTTGAACTTGGAACCCAAGCAGGAATGGATTTCATGGCTCTGAAAGCCTGAAACCTATGGGTGTATGGTTCACAAGTCCCATTTCCGGCATCCCTTGCATGCATGGAGGATCATGCGACTTAGCATGTATGGCTATAAGTACCTTAACTGGGATAAATGTGGTTGTAAGTATAGTTAGTACCGTAAGAGTAACCCTAGTAAACAAGTCCCATGACCCTGTACGTAATCACGAACCAAGGTATGCTGTCGCCCTTGCAGACACGGTCGCAAAGTCGCTTTGACTGCAATCTGGAACAAAGCGGGTTTTGTCGTTGGCATAAATGTTTTTTTTTGTTTCGGGTTTGGCACACCCCAAACCCTGAACACTGATGTAGTGGCTCAAGACTCATGGACTTGATGAATCCCGGAGCCCTCACAGTAGTGCTCCTCCACCACATGAAGCCTTCACATCCTCAAGTGTAATTCCTGAACTCCTGGACCCCTGTCAACCGGTTTTCTCAAGAGCATTCTCAGCGAGGCAGCTGCTTTGTAGCAGCTATTGAATCACGAAAGTTGATGCTAGGCCTGACAACAAACACGAAGCAGAGGGTTATACGTAGCAGTGAAAAAGTAGGTTACTTTTGCTAGACCGAGGCCTTCGTCCATGGAAAGCCGAGTTACGGTTCAGGAACGTCGGTTGTAGGTTGCTTTAGGCTGCAGGTTTTTGTCGCAGTCAAAATCACATATATATATATATATATATATATATATATGTGTGTGTGTGTGTTTATGTATATATATATATATATACACATTATATATAAGTGCACACTATCAGGAACCCTACATAGAACCTTCTCATTATTGTGTTGGGGACCTCTTCCTTGAAGCAACACCTATAAATTATGAACATGAAGCACAAATGTACATAATTTTCTGTCACTTCAAAGGCCGGTTCATAGCACGAGAGAATCTTCAAGTCGCTGAGCTTTGAGTTTCAAGGCGGGACGGCCTCAGCGCTGAGGAGCTGGCTGCTTCGCTTTAATGCGTCGTTTCCAGGGGGGTTTGGGGCGGTAGCGGCTGTAGCGTCTAGATTTAGGTGTGAGGGTCTCATTGGTTTGTTTTTCGAATTTGGGGCACAGGCAGATTCTCGGCGAAGTTTGCTTCAGAGAAGAGGCTTGCGGCTTTGCATAGAGTTGCGTCTTAAGAGTCAAGGCAAGCCCTCGCTAGCGAACACATCGGCCCCGCGCTACCTCTAGGACTTTTAGAACTGGCATCTGGAAGTTAAGGATTTATGGGTTAAGGGGTCTGGGGTTTAGGGCTATCTGTGCAAATCAGCTGCACACCGCAGGATGAGAAGCAGGTGGCAGCTTCAAGGCGACCAACGGCTCAGGGGTTTAAGGGTTTCTGTCAGAAGGTATGTCTACTGCTGACTCCTGCGATGCATACACAGCACGTCTGCATCGAGACACCAACTCGCCCATAACATGTTTCTTTGTGCAGTGGCCCCACATATCATATGCATAGGTGCTTTGCCGCAGCCGAAGGTAACGAACTTTATTATTGATCACAGCATCCTTGCTGTCATCATGCCGAGGCCGATGTTCTGGCGCTGACGCAAAGGATTTGGCACGACCAAGGTGAAAGTGATAGTGATAGTGAGGATAACAGTTGTGATGGAGAAGGCAGCCCTTGGATCCTGTTCGGTTCTTGCGATTTAGTACTGTCAGGCCTGCTGTCTTCTGCACGAGGAACTCAGTCCTTCATAACCATACATAAACTCATAAGCCTTCAAAATAACCCTAAACCCTAAACCCTAAACCCCTAAACCCTAAACCCTAAACCATACATAAACTCACAAGCATTCAAAATCTAATTTCCCAAGCCTCAAACCGTCAGCCCTGAACCTCCCGCTGCAGCCGCTGGTCCACGTGTACCGAGGTGGGCCTTCCGCTAGCAGGTCTTACTTCCTATCAGGCCCGTGCCGCTCAAGTAAGCGGGTTAGATGTCAGGGTTTCAGGATTTGGAGGGTTGAGGCGAACCTGAAGGGTTTTTTCGAGACCTAGACCTTGCAATACGTTTGAAGTAGTACTATTCAGCTTAAAACATACACGACTGCGGATTTCCTATTGCATATGATGCTCTTGTGTTGATGTTGCAATGATGATGCTGAACTACTCTAACAAATCCTATTCTGAAGCCTGAACGCTTCGGAACACTAGAAAGGTGCCATCGAAAGGCGGCAGAATCAATGAAGGTGTTCCCGAAAATTGCCGATAGCAGTTTCGTATATTTACAACCTAATCACTAAGGCCCCTGATCTTGTTGGGGCTTTGGGATTGTGGAGTTAATTACACGATTCTAGTCTGAGGATTCGGGTTCTGCTAAAGCGGTAGGCTTCAGGGTGCAGAGCTTATTTTTTGATTCGGGAAGAGTTCAGATCAAGGTCTGAAGCCCTAAATCCTAAACCCAGTTCCGATTTGGGTTAGCGACTTCGATCTCAACATCGCTCAAGATCCCGTGGTGCCAGAGTCCTAAACATAAGATGCCGCAATTCCTACGAAAAACATATTTAGGGTTTAGGGTTCCGTTTGGGGTACCATGAGAGTTCTTCCTTAAATGCGAAACCAAAAACTTCATATCCTAGACTCCCTGGAACCAGCAAGGCTAACTCACCAGCTCCATTAGGATTTGGCCTTACGGAGCTTAGCTTCACAAGCAAACCACGTAAACCTCGGATAGTCGGCTACCTCAATAGACATGCACCGCCTTTGGGGTCCCAGACCCCTACTTTAAGTAAAGCTCCCGTGGTTCCGGACAAGGCGCTGTTCACAGGCGCTGGCCGTGATTTCACCGGAGCAGAGTTGGGCAAGGTCGCCGAAGGCCTCTCGCTTTGGCTCAGGCCCTAACGTGTTCTTATTGTTGCTACTACTACTACTACTACTACTACTACTACTACTACTACTACTACTACTACTACTACTTACTACTACTACTACTACTACTACTACTACTACTACTACTACTACTACTACTACTACTACTACTACTACTACTACTACTACTACTACTACTACTACTACTACTACTACTTGATCTTGTTGTTACCACCATCCAAACCGACTATGATTAACACTGGAGCGCTGCTGTTCTTACCGGACTTTCAGAGACATCTGCATCACCAAAACCCCTGGCACGCTAAACCCTACCTTAACCCCAAATAACCTGCCTATTTTAAGGACTTGTATAAGGAAATCGTTTTAAGGAGCCGCAAAAGGTAGGTATCTGAGGGTGCAGGCAGCCCGTCAAAGCCCAAACCCTAAACCCAAAGCCCTAAACTCCAGAAGGCAAGAAGGTGTTGATCCTCGGTGGCGCGGCTGCGACCGGTGCCATCGCTATCCAGCTGGGCAAGGCTGTTGGCGCCTACGTGACCACGACAGTAGCATGGCTGCAAGACTCGGAGGCCTCAAAAGGTGGGATGAGGGTAGGTAGGATTAAGGATCCCTTATATAAGGTCTCTTATGTTGAGATTACCCCACCTATCTTCATCCCACCTTTTGAGGCCTCTGAAAGACATGAAAGGGTTAAGGAGTTTCGGGCTTGCGCTTCGGGGTTCAGCGTTTGGTTTCGGTGATTGCATGGACAAAACTCAGGTGTGGCTTGACGGTTTCGGCTTAAGGTGCATAAACACTTAGACTTCTACACTAAACCCTAAACCCATTCTGAGTGGATAGCTTTTAAGGCAAAGAACCAGAGGAAGGGACCGAGCCGTAAACAATCTCCCCTACGATGCTAAATGGCTTCCTACGGAGACGACACCCCGTGCTTGGCGTTTTGGGCTTGCGACGTGGGCCTAGCTGAAGTATATTCCAGCATTACTTTCCAATCCCATCGTTCTAACGTGGGTACTAATATTACCACAACTTTTCCGAATAGCAAGACTACCCACTGTCTCCATTGTAGTTCCTTTTTTGGTTAACCAAACTCTCTATTATAGGATCCAAACCACAAAATTGGTTAACCAGGAACTACAATGGAGACTCTAGGTAGGACTATTACTGTTCTGACTTAGATGTCAATTGCATTTCTTACATTGCCGTTAGGCATCTAACATGCCAAGTGCACCTCCGCCACCATGGCTGAAGCCCTGCTTCTCCGTGCTGTTCAAGCCGGAAGCTTTGGAAGAAGAGGGCTTGAGGTTAGGGGTTTAGGGTTTAGGGTTAAGTGGAAATAAGGGGGCTGAAGCGTTCAGGTGGCAGATTTCGGTGGAGACAGTCTTGCTGAGACAGGTTTCTTGGCGTACGTGTTTTGCCTGTGCAGGCGAGCCCGAACAAGATGCCGGATGGGAGCACCAAGATCGACTACATGAAGAAGTTGGGTGCTGATGAGGCGGGTTCGCACGGTTTGTCGTTTAGGGTTTAGGGGTTTAGGTGTCATGGCCGCTCGTGATGAAGCACTACAAGCGAAGTTCATTTGGGTTTGAAGTGCAACTCAGCATGAACCTTGTCAGTTCTTGCAACTTCGTGTTATTCTGAAAGCGCAGCCCCAGCAAGAGTGTGTTTGGGTCCAGCTTGAAATAAAGCCTGTCTAGATACCAGCTACAGCTCCTCACCACCTTCGTAGTCATGAACCAATCTGAGTCTTGTAAACCCTTAGGCTCTCAAAGCTCAAACGTGCCTAAACCAGACTTGAAGCCAAACGCCCTAAACCCCAAAAGTAATCCCTAGGCTGCGCTAAAGCTCTTCCAGCACAAAGCTTCGAGCCCTGAAGCCTCAAAGCCACAGTCGTCTTTGAGCCTCGCACGAGAGATGATATCAAACCATGTAAACCGTAAGATCCTAAACCTTATTAGCCCTAAATTCTTAGCTTTTCAACCTTCTAAACCTTAAAAGCAACTCTAAATCCTAAGCCTTGTAAACTTCAAAGTCCTAAATCAACCCCAAGAGAGGTGATCAACTACAAGGAGGCAGACTGGGCCGATGCCTTGGCGGGCAAGGAGACAACTGGGAGCCAAAGCGGAGATCAAGTAGATAAAGGCTAAGCGTTTAGGGTTTGGGGGTCTACGATTTAGGGCCTAGGGTTTAGGGTTTGGGGGGTTGGGGTTTCGGGTTTAACTTGAGCTATATCCAAAACCGTTAAATGACCCCAGTATAGAGCCCACATGATAAGGTTTTCATCACTCTACGCAGCTTGGTTGCGACCATGACTACTTAAAGACAGCGCAGAAGCTTTCGCCCGAAAGCCCTGGAGCCTATCCACTGGAGACACAAGCCCTTCTTAGCCCCAACACTCGAAAGCCATTGCTGTATCCTTCAAGCTCGAGACAGCGGCCACTGCATGCATGAAACCCTTCAAGGAGTCCTTATGGAACTAGGTCCCAATAAAGCCCTGCCCAAACAAATACTTACGAGCTTGCGGCAATCAAAACCATGATGAAACCCCATGAGCTTCAATAAGGCCTCTTGCTTGGAGGATCAGGGGAACTTAGAAAATATGGTGGTAAGTACCTTGACTGGGGTTCTAAGTAGCGATATCTACAGATACCCGGACAATGACCTTAGTTACTGAGTCCCACGGTCTTTTCAGTACACAACCCACGAACTTCCGATTATGAAGTTTAGGGTTTAGGGTTTATAAACCCTGTAAAACCTCATACAAGGCCCCTGCTCCCACCACACTATAACTGCAAATTCCATTTAGCCCCCAGTCAAGTCGCAGCACTTAATGATCAGAACAGGTTTTGTTTTATTTGGGGGAGTGTACAAAAGCTACCCTGAAATTAAAAAACCCTGGGAACGGTATTGGCAAATATTTGGGCACCTCTACTTCGCCCTTATAGCAACCCTAAATCCCTAAAGGAAGCGTGTTCACTGAACCCAAAACCCTAAACCCGAAACCAAACCCGCCTGAACCCTAAACCCTTAACCGCGCTTAAAGGAGTATGACCAGATCTACGACTGCGTCGGAACACCAGAGGACTCAGCTCCCCCCGCCTGTGAGGGTTTAGGGGTCTAACGTACTATACAGGACCGCACCAGAACCCTGTCGAAAGTCACTGTCATGTGTGTGATTTAGTGTTTGGGGCTTTGAGTTTCAAAGTCGATTTAGAGTGTAGTGGTTTAGGGTTCGGTTAATGTTGACCCCTGATTAATAAACCCCCCCCCCGCCCCCCCCCCCCTCAAGGTTGTCAAGGTCGCAGGCCCCCCACAGGATCACAGACCCCCAAATAATCCCGTGAAGCCAAATTGCAGTAAACAGTGGTGCTAGTAGTAGTAGTCGTAGTAGCAGCAGTAGTAGCAGTGGCAGTAGCAGTAGCAGTAGCAGTAGCCCTTGAAAGAACCGCTTGAAAGAGGACAAGACGCCCTTTAAATGTAGTCTTGCCCCCTTTAAAAGTAGTCTTCGAAGCACTTTTTGAAATTTTAGATCCCCAGGCGGTGTTGCCTTTAATCGTGGGGGGTTTTCTGCAAAAAACGATCCTTATTTGGGTGCTGCCTTTAAAGTAGTACAGATTGGGGCCGGAGCCGCCCGCAGGCCGCCTTTAATCGTAGGGGGATTATTAATCCTAGGTCAACATTAACTTTTTAGAGTTTTGGGCTCTCAACATTTATCTAGGGACCCTAAGAATTAGAAGAGGGTATTGGGGTATAATATACCGTATTTATAATCAGGAACCCCCAAAATAGTGTTGGTGAACATTTGGGCCCCTACATTCTGGTCTCGGGTTTGGGGTGTAATAGGCTTGCTGGGTACAGGATTTAGGGCTTTTCGACGTCCTAGTATCTAGCGTAGTAGGGTTTAGTCTTCACCACCATCGTCATTGTCAGATTATGCAGCCGAATGTGGCCTGTAGGCTTCAGTGGCAGAATCCGTTCTATAAGCCGCAGCCATGGTCACATCACCGTCTTTCGTTCACACGACAAAATCCTCTATGCGGGATCTTTGATAATGCTTCCCGCAAAATGTGCGGGGCGACCAGGAGCTATGGTAGATCCCAAACGAGAGAAAGAGAGAAGAACATCCAGAAACACTCAAAACCTCTGGCTAAGTGGGGAGGTTGGCAAGGACGATCACAAGCTAAAGTAACCACCGCGAGTCGTAACGAGCAAGTGATGGGACACGTGGCAACAAAGCTGAAAGTTAAGATGTGAGAATGCGTACCTGGACCCCAAAAGTATGTAGAATAATAGCCGTTTATAGGTTTTAGGCCATTATTTTACCTACTTTTGGGGGTCTAGGTAGGAACCTGATTAAGGAACCCTGGCCCGGTAACCGTAACCGCGATATTTGACTGAATATACAGAACCCTGATAAATTGACAAACACCCAGGGTTTCTGAATCAGGTTCCTACATTATTTGCTCCGGGCGCCAAGTAAGTCGAGTTACGCCCGGCTAAACGAGAAAGAGGCAAGAGCTAATAAGACATTGGCCTTGCAAAGCAATTCACGGTTTAGCGTGTCCCCGGATCATGACGGTTAGCATGTCCGACATTCTGCAGGCTTCGCACTTTTCGGAAAGTGTAAGCCATAGCATGTTGTTCTGTTCTGATTCGGCATGTAATATAGAGCAGGAGAGGGGTAAAATGGAACCCTGACCCTAAGCCGCTAAGTCCTCAATTTCAAAGCCCTAGACCCTAAACCCCACACCCTAAACCCCGAAACTTTAAACCTCAAACTTTTAAACTTTAAACTCAAAAAGCTCTAAACCCTAGACCCCTAAACCCTAAACCCAAAAAGCCCTAAACCCTAGACCCCCAAACCCCTAAACCCAATAAACCCTAAACCACAAGGACTGGCCCAAGGCCGCCAAGATCCTGAAGAAGGGTGGCGTCTTTGCTCCTTGGCTTTGGGGGATCCCTTTCAAGGGTTCCTTAAAGGGATCCCTTGGGGATCTGGGGTTCCCTTAAAAGGGTTCCTTAAAGGGTTCCCTAAAGAGATCTAGAAGGGTGGCGTCTTTGCTCCTCGCCTCCATCCCGGGTCTCAGTCTTGGCTTCGGGATTTGGGTGGTTGTCAAAAGTTGGGTCCCTTTTTGGGTCCTTATTATAATGCGGCACCTAATATTTAGGGTACCAAAAAAGGAACCAAAATTTTGACAACCACCCATTTAGGTGTTTAGGGTTCGGCTTTCTGTTTAGATTTTTTAGGGTTTGGGGTTTAGGGTTCGGGTTTCTGTTTGGTGGCTTTAGGGTGCATGGCTTGGTTCAGAGCGTCGGGTTTGGGGTTTTAGAGTTTTTTGGGGTAGGGTTTCATAGTTGTATAGGGGATATGTGGAGATGTCATTGCCAACTGTTCCGACCTGAAGATTATTCCTTTCTACATCCATCGCCAGTCTCAGTCCTTGCATTTGCATAATTTGTCAGCTGGTGGTAGTTGGCATAGTTGGTCTTTTCGTTGGTTGCAAGTAGCTGGGTGGAATCAGTTCACGGGAAACATAGACCTTGTAGCCGATTGTCATCCGACCAGGGTGTATGACTCCATGCCCTTGCCCATGCCGCATGCCTGCCCTCCCGCCTATCAGCCATCAACCTGATCGGTAAAGACTGAAACCACCACAGTTCTAGATGACGCAGTAACATCCCATGCAGACGTGTATGTAGTGAAGTATATAGTGCAGTGCAACATAGTATAGTATAGTAGTATGCTGTAGGATAGTATAGTTTACGGTTTACGCAGCATAGCATAGTCTAGTCTAGGATAGTACCGTCGAGTCTGGTGTAGTAGAGAGCAATGTAATATGACATCTCTGGACGAGGTCAGCATCGCCAACTTCGGGGACGCGAAGTCTACCGAGGATCACCTCTTCAAGTCACTTGCATGTCGTTTTTGTTTGTGCAGTCTTCAGAGTTTCGGCTTCAGGAATGAGGCTCCCGAAGCCGGCGAAACCTGATCACATGATGATGAAAAAAACAAAACCCGAAATGCCCCGAAACGGCCCTACATGTTTATGGTCCCCCCCGGAGCCCCCCAAGCCTTGTGAGCCTGCTGCATGTTCTACTGGAGCATCGGAGGGCATTCCAATTTGCCTCGGAGCTCCCAAACATCCCTTAGCTAGTTGCACAACACTATGTCAGCTGTCTTATGAAGAGATCCCTGATTCTTACACCCTAAGCTACAGCAAGCTGCAACTGAGGAACTTCCTGCTGAAGTCGAACACAGCTGATCTGAAGGAGCTGATCCGATTCGTCAAGGAGCTGTGACTTTAGATTTCGGCTTTATTGGGTTTAGGGTTTAGGGGCATAAAGATACGGTGGATGATATAAATCCTGCATTACCTTAAGGACCCTAAACTATGGGAATTATGGTATATTCCTTATTATGGGTAATGCAGGATTTATATCATCAACAGTAGTATTTCTAGGGTTCAGAATTAGGGCCTCGCGGCTTGGGGACTTTGGGAGAAGTTGGAATACTGTTGATGATATAAATCCTGCATTACCCATAATAAGGAATATACCATAATTCCCATAGTTTAGGGTCCTTAAGGTAATGCAGGATTTATATCATCCACCGTATCTGTCAGCCAGAAGGTGAGTGGTGTGGTTTCTGGCTGAAGGTGCGAAGAAAGCAATTCCCAGGCTGCAATGCCGGCAGTGTTACCCTAGAGAATCCTAGATTTACAGTTGCTTCAACCACAAAAGGAACTGCAATGAAGAATATAGGTAAACCGGTAAACTGGTAAACCTAAACCTCTAACCACAAACCCCAAACCTTATACACCCTAAACCCTGAACAAGGCCCCTGTATTCTTTAGGACAACCCTCGACCTTAAACCCTGAACCACAAACCCCAAACCCTAAACCCTGAACAAAGCCCGCGTCTTTTTCTTTAGGACCCAATAGCTCAGCACATGCGATTTTGTGAAAATAGGGGACCCTATAATATTGTATCCTAAATAGTAGGATCCTTATTGTAAGGACCTCCAAAATAAGGTACCCCTAATTTTCGGAAACTCCCAAACCCTAAACCCTTTGTAGAACCCTTATAGATCCCTTTAAGGAACCCTTAAATGGATCCCTTTGAAGGTACCCCCTATTTTTCGGAAACTCCCGCATTGCAGGAAGGCAAGTTGAAGATCCCAGTTGATTCCGTCGTGCCGTTCGCGGAGCGCGGTTTAGGGTTTGGAGGTTCAGGGTTCAGGGTTTAGGGTTTAGGGGTTTAGGGTTTAGGGTTTAGGGTTTGGAGGTTCAGGTTAGGGTTTTGCTTAAAGTGTAAGGTTGGGGGTTTAGGGTTTGGGGTTGAGGGTTGAGGAATAAAGTTTAAGGTTCGGGGTTTCGTTTTGGGGGCTTGGTGTTGAAATAGGGTTGTTTTGGGGGTTGCGGATTAGAGTTTGGGGGGTCTAGGGCTTGGGGTTTAGAGTTTAGAGCACAGGACCTAGAGTGGGTGATGAGGGCTGTGGTGTTCGGGGATACTAGCGCTGACCCCACAGCAACACCTCAACCCTAAACCCGAAAATGCCTCATACTGTGAGGGTGCTTTTAGTCGGCTTGTCGCAGTTGCAGGTGGGAGCCCGCCTGGGTGGCTTGCAAGAAAGGCTTATTATTAATTGCGGGTTTATCTAAACAGGTGCGTAGGGGAGAGACCCTTGCCGAGGAGATGCCCCAAACCCTAAGCTCCGTTGGACCAAGAAGTTCGTCTGCGATACTACAGCAGCTCCGACGCAAAATCGCAGTGAAACTTCATGCTCGCTGAGATCGAAGCCTTCAAACCCCAAAGCCTAAACCCATCCCTCTTCCTGAAACGATGTACCACCAACACCCTATTCTAACAACTACGCCCCCTACAATTACCGAGATACGAACAAAGAGCGCCAAAACATCAGGAATTTCCGAAAGAAAGCAGAGGTCTTGGCTCTGAATAACTACCTATGTTATTCCTTGGGTTTCCTGAACTGTTTATTATACGTTTTGCACCAAAACCCCATTCCAGGTATCAAGGCCCTATCTCAAAGCCATCCCCCCAAAGCCCTGATGAGAGCTCTGGAAAACTGCCGCCTCGACACGCAGGACCCTCGATGCCCCTAAACCCTAAACTCTCAAGCTCTAACCTCCCTGGGCCCTTGCAAGCCTTCCGTTTGAGAGTTCTCTATTATGACTTCCTTATATATGTCCTTAAAACATAGGTTAAGCCCTAGATGGCTTGAGGGTCTAGAGAAGAGAGTTTGGGGCGGCCCAGACTGTCACTCCCATGCACGTTCAAGTCACACAGTTGCCCTTGCCGCTACCAAAACACCAAACATAGTAGCTATGTAAGCTAGTGTTTAGGAGATTATATGATTATTGGGTACTCGCACCCTAAGGGTGAGGTGTAGGGTTTATGAGCCAAGTCTCCAACATCTCTTGATTGTAGGTCCCTTTATCAAGGGTTCTTAAACCTGGGGTCGGAATGTTTGGCGCTATCCCCTTAAAGCCCCGTTTTTCTAGTGATAAAGGTCCAAGTATGTTACTACGGGTTGAAGATTAATTATCCCCAGATAGAACCTCTTCTAGTGATAAAATTGCCAAGTATATGTTACAGAGGGTTGAGTTAAGATGAGTCCATGGTCTCTAATTATGCGTGATCCGAGCCTCGAAGCCGAACATAAGTCTGAGAGGACGTGCCAGCAGTGTTGACAAAGAGCATGGGTTGGGCTTCGGCGGGCAAGCTCGCAGCTTGACCTTTCTGGAAGTGCAGGTCTCTGGGATCCTTGGGATTTGGTCAGTGGCATTGGGGCCCCTGGGGTTTAGCCTGCAGTCGGTGTGGGACTGTGGTTGTGGTGGTTGTAGGCTGTAGCAAGAGCTAGGGCGCAGTCCGAGGATGATGGACAGGTATGGGAAGGAATGTGTCTGTGGATAGGTTGCTTCCAATGGTGTGTTCATGCTTGGGACGGAGGTGTGGGCAGCGTAAGATGGTCGGAAAAATGGTAAGCTCCTTCGATCGTAATATCTATCTTAGTACATACTGCTGCAACAGGGTCACAATATACTCCTACAAACTTTCTTTTAGTTATGCAGGCCCCTGTAGTCAGTATGTGGGAGTTTCCGACAATAGGGGACCCTAATACAGCACCATAAATAATAGGATCCTTATTATAAGGACCCCAAAATAAGGTACCCCTTGTTTTAGGAAACCCCCATGTTATGCAAGGGTTTGACTGAGCTTGCTGTGCAGAGGTCATCAAGGTATCCGACTGAGCTGGGCACACGAGTGGTTTCTGTTTCTGGAACCCCGGATGGAGCACAATCTCAGCCATTCTGCTCTGAAGAGCTAGACGGCATTTGCTTACGTCCACACTGGCTAGAAGCTTGTTCTGTGCCAGTTTTCGCACAATTTTCTGCCATAAACCATGTGCCGTCAAGGCATGGAAAAGCACCGCCTCCCATGCGCGTTCTGGTAAGCTCCATGGACGGACAGGACATGTAGAGTTGGTGCGATATGTGCTGAGCCTTTCAAGAGCAAGCACGTCGCGACACCCCAAAGGCTTCACGCTCTACTATCGGGGCCGAAGTAATTAACAATACTATTTTGGAGTTTCTTTTTTCTAATAACAGTATAGTGGGCCCCAAGACCCTATTCTAATTTTGAAGGCCCCTATATACTCATACGGCGAGTCCGAATCCGGAGAGAGCACCCCATGGTTCAGGGGGCCTATTCCTGCACCCCGGCCGTTTCGGCTCAATGCTCATGTCACATGTCAGCAGAAACAACATGTCTAGAGCCTTCAAAATCTGCATAGCATCGCTGCTGTTTGTGGGTTTTACAGGTGGGCAGGCAAACTCTTGTGGGCTTCAGCGGGAATTGCTCAGAATCAAGATGCCACGTGTGTAAAATGAGCTCCAGATTTATCATGAGATCTCCATTGTAGGAGCACGGAAGGCTGCAATTTCTGCAACTGTAGGGGCTTATATAATTAATTATCGATGCTGTTTTTGGGAGTTCCTTATTATAGTCATTGTATGACCCAAAACTCAACCCGAATTATGAAGGCCCCTGTGTTACCCCTCCATAGCACGCGATACCGATAGAGTTACAAACTCGAAACGCTGAGCTGCGCAGCTTCCGCAATTGACTGAGCCTCCCCGGGCCATGCCTGTTCCTTCAACAGAGCTCCTCGGCCAACATGAGATCTACGGTGGATGATATAAATCCTGCATTACCTCAATGACACTAGACTTTGGGAATTATGGTATATTCCTTATTATGGGTAATGCAGGATGTATATCATCAGCCGTATGTAGTTCAATATAGACTCTAAACCAAACATTAACCCTGAGCCTCGAAACCCGTGTCATGTCTTTCGGCATGAAGTCGTGAAAGCAGACAGTGCTTCGAACAAGTAGACCCTAAACCAGCAATTCCAAGAGAGAGTGAAACTGTGCCAGAGATCCGATCCGGATTTGGGGTTTTACAGAGTTCGGAAGAATTGGTGACACTATCCCCGTGGCCCCTATAGTGTACTCCAGAATGGTCTTCAATTTTGACGGCCCCTGAAGGATAACTTTCTATCCCTCTCTTTCACTCTGTCCCTGTAAAATATATGTATACATATGTGTATAATATATATATATATACATATATATATATATGTGTACATACATATATGTGTGTGTACGAGCGACAGGAACCCCTTCATGCAACCTTACACACAGGCTTCTATCAAGGAACTCTGTTCGAATTATTTAGGCCCCTAAACTAAACCCTGTAAGACCCTATAGATTCCTGCATAACCTCAAGCCAACCCTATTGCAACAGTTCAGGTCCCCTAAAATGGTTCCTTCAGGCCCCTATACGTGACCCTTATGATAACGATGGCATAGCTCTGATAGTAGCCCATTAAATGCAAACTGTAGACCCCAGAAGGTGCCCTGAACCGCCGATTGACCCTCCTCCTAAGCCTACGGAGGCCCGAAGTTCGAATCCCAGCCGGAAAGAACCCTTAGGGGTACTTAGATGTTTGTAAATTTTTGGTTCTTATAATCCCTAAGAAAGAGCTAAAGTCATAATTTTTGCTAGGGTTCTAAGTTCAGTATAGAATTCACTCTGCTGTAGATCCGCACCCTGAGCCTCCAAGCGAGGAGAGTGAGCTTTGCTCCCGATCAACTTCGGCAGCTTGTCATTCTCAAGGGGTCCATGTACCCAAATAGTATATACATTGGCCTGAAAAGTGGTCTCTATATAGGTACGCTGGGCCCAAAGTATATATGATTTGGATACATGGACCCTCAAACCCTAAACCCTATAGAGCCCCTATAGAACCCCCCTTCTTACCCTTAAAGGAGCCCTGAACGGATCTCTATGGACCCCAACAAAATTCTCAGAAGACCAGAAAATGAGCTAAGGAAGACCTTGGCTTTGGCTTCGGGGCTTTAGGGCATTTAGGGTTTAGGGCCTTTAGGGTTTAGGGTTTCGGGGGTCTTTGGGTTACAGGCTGGGGTAAGAGTATGCCAGAGTCAGAGGAAGCTCAGTTGCGAATGTTGGATTGACGGTCCAGGCAGTCCGAAGCAAGCCACTTTACCCCAAACCCTACCTAGACGCTCATGCCCTACTACCCCTTTTTTAGGATACCTTGTTTTATGGTTAGGGTCTGTTATGTAGAATATTAGGTACCTTAAGAAAGGGGTAGGGTATGAGCCTCTAGGTACACCACTGCACGCAAGCCCTGAGCTACGAAGCCCCAGATCAAAGACTTTCAAGTGTTGGCTCAGCGACACTCCAATGATTTAAGGAATACCCTTCCTAAACCCTAAACCCTAGCCACCAAGGCCTAAAACACCTTTAAAGTGTGAGCCGCGGGAGGTGCAGCAGCTCTCCGAATAAGAGAATCACAAGAACCCCCAAATCTCACGACGGCGAGGAGTCCAAGCGAAAACTCTGACCCGCCAAACCCCGAGTCCCTCCCAATGCCTTCACGCCGAACATCAGGAGTTTGTCCTTATAACGGCCGGAAGAAATCAAACTAATTTTGTCCGCGTATAGTTGTTGTAGGGCATGCCTCAAAACACCTACGCGTTTTCAACTTTTTCAAGCCCCTATACTGCATGTCCTGACCATATAACGTCTTCTGGTACCCTACAAAACCCGATTCTCCTATAAAGAACCTCTTCTAATCATTGAGGCCGCTTTTTCCCAAAGCGCTAAACCCTAAGCCCTAAGCTAAAGTATTATCCTTGTTACTTCCCCGCGTCGTTTCCAAGGAGCTCAAAACAGAAATGAAAACCTAAACCCGAACCCCTGAGCCCGAAACCCTAAACCCCAAACCCCCAATACCCAAACCCCGAAACCCGAAAAGGTATCCCTCTGTCTCCAGAAGCTTCCAGACTATCCTCGACAAGCTGGTCGAGCGCCCTGGCTGTTAGGAGGCAGAGTCCCGAGTTTCGAGCTAAGGACTCCTTCAAAGGGTTTAAAGGGATCTATAAGGAATCTATAGGGATCTAGGGTTTAGGGTTTTAGGCTTTAGGGGTTTAGGTTTAGGGTTTCGGTTTAGGGTGCAGTGTTTAGGGTGTAGGGTTGAAGGTTTAGGGTTCCATGAAGAGGTTGCTGAGGGGTCTTTGGGGTTATTGGGGTTATTGGGGTTATTGGGGCTTGGGGCTTTAGGGTTTAGGGTGCATTTAGGGTTTTAGGGCTTTATGGTTTTAGGGTTGGTTTGGAGTTTTATATAGGGTTTCAGGTTTTGGGCTAAGGGCTTAGGTTTTTTGGTTTAGGGTGTAGGCTAATCGGGCTTCGCAAGTGTTCTTGGTCAGGGGTTTATACTACTATTTGCTTAAGAACCACCAAAAAATAAAAAATATATTCCTTATGGGGGTAATATAGGAATTATTATTTTTATTTTTTTGGGGTTTCTTAAGCAAATAGTAGTATAAGGGTTTCATGGGTGCTTGTAGGATTGTTTTTTTAGTACAGCTTTCTAAGACCAGGAACATCCCAGAAAGCCCTTTACCAGAGTGTCTATACAGTTCGTTTACACTCACTATGTCCCACGACCCATCGGGCCACTGCATTATAGGGTTTCGAGCAGAGGTCCGGACTTTGCAGTTGGTTTAGTGCTGTAGCCTTAATGATAACTAAGTTAGCCTTAATGGGATTTAGGGTTGAGGGTTAAGGGTTCGAGGTTTAAGTTTGGAGCTGTAGGCCTCTGTGGGGGACGACTGCTCACTCACCTTCCTAGTCCCAGGCAGCATGTCGCAGAGATCTCCAGCTACGACCGTTCGTTTGCACGAGCGGACGAGCCGCCTTCGTCACAGTCGTCGAGCTTTGGCTGAATGGGCTGCAATCTTTGGCGTCAGATAATTAGTATTACTACCTCCTGGTGGTTCCCATATCATAGTACAATTTGACCCGAAACATTCATCGCGGGCTTTTTGCTTACGGATGTGGAAGTGACTCACGCTATGCGCTTTCTGCAACTTTTCGATTTAGTCGTTTTGCCTCGGTCTGTTCAATGTGCTCAACCTGGCATGGAGGGTCTATGCTTCCTGACTGTCTTATTCCAAATGGCAGGATACTTCTTATAGGTCCCCAAAATGAGGTACCCCGAATTTTCGGAAACTCCCAAATCAGGGAAAATACCTTGAATTATGGTAATAGTATGATCCTTTATATGAGGTAAGGGTATATTCCTCAATGTATCGATGTTGGGAGTTCTGGGTAGAGCCAGGAGGTCAGGCCACGGGTGGTTCACTCCTTTTCCAACATTGACTTTTCGAGACTCTCAGCAGACCGCACCCCAAAAAACCCAACCCAAAGGCCCCGAGCCTGAAGGTTTACCGGTTAGGCTTTGGGGTGCAAGGAACTGCAAAACTTTCACTAAGCCCTACCATGAGCCGGAATAACCTACCTTTTTAAGGACTTATATGAGGAAATCATACTACGGAACCCCAAAAAGGTAGGTTATTCCGGCTCAAGGTAAGGCCAAGACCAACTCGGGGATGCAAAGCACGCAGTCACACAAGTGATGAAACTCTTTGCTCACCAATCGAGGCCTCGCTGTTTCGCTTAATGTAGGAACCTGACGAAGAAACCCTGGGCCTATAACCCCAAAATAGTAGGATCCATATAAGGAATCCTGACCAAAGGCCCAAGGTTCCTACATTAGGGTTTAGGGTGCAGCCTAAACAGCCTGAACCCTAAACCGACGATTATTGAACTTTTCAGCCTTGCAGCCTCCAAGCTGCACGCCATCTCTGGGCACTAAGTCACTAAATGCTGAAGCTTTGGTACGGCCCCTACTCAGTAATAGTTGAATAATACTCATAATAGGTAGGACCTTAATGGTAGCCCGATTATAGACTCTTACTGTATGGCGGCAGTGCCAAAGCTGAGGGCTACAGCCCATGCCGAAAACCCGAATCCCGGCCAAACCCCCTGGTCCTCCAGCTTTAGCCCTAAATCCGCAAATTTTAGACCGTAACCCTTAGATTCTATAAGCCAGCCCTGACATGCAAGCCCCATAACGCAGGAGGCAAAATGTCACCAGCGCGCGGATCGAGCTACCTCCCCAGGAGTCACCGAAGGGCTCTGGGTGGCCAGGCATACTTCATATATCATGTTGTTGTTTTTGTGGTCATGTTTGTTCTTCGTTGGCCTGCGAAAAACGGATTCTACTGGTGCGGATTTAGGACAGGCATCAGGGTTTAGGGTTTAGGGTGAAATTCGGTGTTTATACCCTCTGCCACTATGTACGAAGATCCGAAGGCACAGTAAACTCAAAATCAAGGTCTCAGATTTCATTCCGCGGATTTTCCAACGCCGGGTCGCAGATGTCGCTTATGCACCTCGGCAGCTGCAAGAGTTTCGCCGAAGGGTCAGAGTAAAAGTTGCTGTCTTGTGTGGAGAGATAGATAATATGGGGGCCTTGATAATTAGAATAGGGTTTTGGGCCCCAATATACCATAATTTAGATTAAGGAACCTCCACAATAGTGTTGGTAACTATTTGGGCCCCTATATTAGGTGCTTCAGTTCAGCGTCTCGGGTTTAGGGTTCCAAGTTGAACGGTCAGGGTTTGGGGTTTAGGGTCTTCGTCGGCAAGGTTTACTTAGCAAAGTCATGCTTGAGCAGCCGCCGCGAGGAGATCATTAGTCAACAGTGGTTTCTTTGTTTAGGGCCCCAAAAAGCACATAAGCAAAAAATAGGATAGGGATATCCCATATAAAGCCCCTCAAAAGGAAGCCCAAGAAGGTAGGGATATCCTCATAAAATGCTTATGCTTATGTGCTTCTTGGGTCCCTATTGTCTTGCCGCAGGCAAAGTCCATTGCAAACGTGACAGAGGCGAAGACTTTGCTTGCAAAAAAGCTGTCAAACATGAGCCCCGGTTCATGTACACAGCCTAACCCGCAATCTACAAACTCCTAACAAACCCTAAACCCCAAACCCCAAACCCTAAACCCTAAACCCCAAGCCCTAAACCCTAAACCCCAAACCCTAAACCCTAAACCCCAAGCCCTAAACCCTAAACCCTAAACCCCAAGCCCTAAACCCTAAACCCTACAGCCCGAGCCCTAAACCCAAAAAGCCCGAGCCCTAAAATCTAATACCCTCGACTCATTGAATGCTGAATCCTGTGCCGGGCTGGACCTTCGACGAATATGGCTGAATACCCTAGGGTTTAGGGTTTAGGGGTTTAGGGTTTAGGGTTTAGCCCAAAACAGGTTAACCTTCCACAATAATTGTGCGTGTTCACATAGGACGCAGCCACTCCGTTTGGTCGCCCTCGAGACACTACGCCATCGACGACTGCTGTCTTGGGTGCTTGAAGTGGTACGGGCGTGTCGGACAGGTGCAACCACACCTGAAACACAGCGGGTCATGCTTACTCCGTCTGTGCCAGGTGATTGCTCCGCTTGATACCACGGGCATCTGCACAGTGGAAGCCAAGGAAGTGGCCCGCCAGAAAAGCATCTGTCGGAGTGACTGGTCTCAATTCCAAAGCCGATCGCAACAGGCCGTAGTTTATGGGCTGAAGATTCCCACGGCACAGGAATACACAGAGGGCTTGGACTTTTTCGACGCGGAGGAGAGGAGTCTCTTTCCAGCCTTCTCAAGGCCTTCCAGCCCAGTGCCTCTACGGTCGCTTGGATTTCAGACCATGTCGCTCAGCGCTCCAGCGAGGGAAGGCCATGTTAGTTTCACATTGCATGTCACATCATTTTTGGGACACGCCCTTCGGGGCTTGATCGCCCGCACAGTACCAGAAACAGTATTTTTTTCGGGGGGAGGGGTTCTTATGATATCTAAGGTATAATACACCCCCAAAACCCTAATCTCATTATTTAGGGCCGTTTAGCAGAGCAGTGCTCTCGAAAACTGAACGCAGAAGCCCCGAAAATCCTGCACTGCTAGATCCTATCCACGGTCTTGTCCCGAAGCCCTACATTGCTAAGACCCCACCCTAAACGCTACCTGTAGCCGAAAAAAGCCGACCATTTTAGGGTTGCCTAGATATGGTTTCCATACCTTAGTACGGCAGGTCTTTCCGGCTACAGGTGAACCCTAGACCTCAAACCTTAAACCTAAACCATAAACCCTAAAACCCTAAACCCTAAACCGAGCCTAAACCCCTACCCCAGCCTAAAGCGCTAGCAAGGCCGATCTTGACGGAGACCGGCATCCCGAGGCCTCCCCCCCCCGAACTCCTCAAACTTACAATCCCGGGCCCCAAACCCGAAGCCTAAACCCCAACAGCAAAAAACTGCGTATTATTAATCGTATTATTATTATTAGTATTATTAGTATTGTTATTGTTGTTGTTACAGAAGCCTAAAGCTCTGATCCCTAGACCCAAATCCCCTAAACCCTGAACCCCGACACCCTACCATAGACCCCTTTTTCAAGGAACCCTTGAACCTAAACCCTAAACTTTAAAACCTTACCGTATAGACCTATTTAAAGGAATTCTTAGCAGAGCCCCTTAAAGGAACCCCAAAGGAGCCCCTGAACTACCCTAAGGCCCTCAGCCCCCCGCGAGAGAGCTCCCGAGGACCGGCAGTGGCTCGCACGGAGGCCTCGCCAACAAGTGCCACGCCCGGTTTAGGGGTTCCTTAATGGGGACCCTTATATAGGGTTCCTTAAAGGGATCTATAAGGATTCTATGAAGGGTTTTAGGGTTTAGGGGTGTATCAAAGGGGAAAAGGAGGGACCCTTAATGGGGACCCCTACCCTGTAATGGGCTATACAAGGGGTATATAATGGCTATATTAAGGGTATATACCCAGGAGTCCTTATTAAGGGTCCCTCCTTTTACCCTTGGAGTTTAGGGGCTCCTTTAACGGTTCCTTTAAGAGGCTCCTGTGAGGTTTCCTTCATCGTTCGTAGCAGAGGAGTCACTGACTCCGTTTCCTTTAAGGGGTTCCTTTACAGTAGAAGCCAGAAAGTTGGAATATCATTATCCTAAACCCTTTATGGTAAATTATAAGGTATCCTACCCTGAAACCATATTCCAACTTTCTGGAGTTCCCTGTAAGGGTTCCTATTATAGGGGTCTATCAGGTAGGGTTTTGGGGTTTAGGGCTGTAGGGTTTAGGGTTTCGGGGCTGCAGGGTTTTGTGTTCAGGGCCTCAGGGGTTGCGTTTAGGGTTTAGGGTTTAGGGTTTAGGGTTGAGGGTTTAGGGTTGAGGGTTTTGGGTTTAGGGTTTTGGGTTTTGGGTTTTGGGTGTAGGGTTTAGTGTTTACATGGTTTTGGAGTACGAGTAGTCCTTGTATTCCGACACTTTCGGAGCCTTCGGATTATATGGCCTGGGGAAGAGGGGCCCGTTGATTGCGGTCGGTTTTGGAAGATGGCGGGGTGGAGGGTCTGGCAGGGTTGCGGCGTTGGGGCTTAGGCTTGAGGCTTTGAAGTTGTCGTGTTTTCGGCTGTCGATATTAGTTATAGTGTTGGGGGTTTAGATAAACAGCTTACCTGTGCTGCATTGGTGCTATTCTGCGGGCGTAGGCTGGAGACAGGCCGGTTCTTCAACCCTTCATAATCATCACAAGTAGATTATAAGCCTGCCCCATGGATGAATCCCGGAACCGTCAGACCTTAAACGAAAAAGGCCAAGCCCCCTTGGTCGAACCCTAAGCCCCAAACCCTTAAAACCCCATACCGGAAACGGCCCCCAAACCCTAAGAACTCTGAACCCAAAACTCAACACCCTGACACCCCATGCCCTCAGCCCTCAACCCCAAATCTAGATAATCTGGGGGCCTAAAAAATTACCAATACCGTATTATACTTATAGCATAGTGGGCCAAAACCCTATTCCAATTATGAAGGCCCCTATATTATAGTACCCTTATAGACCCCTTATAGTAACCCATAAAGGACCCCTTTAAAGGAACCCTATTGAAATCATTAAGACCCCTATGTATTCGATCCTGAACCCACGGAAAGCCGAGGTTCCGCACGAGGTGCATGCGAGAGAAGCGGCGCAGTGTCCACTCGGTGGACGCAAGTCAGGCTACCCTGGGTTCGAACTCCCTCAAGCTAGTTTACTTGGAGGTTCATGGGTAGTTATAAGAGGGGTTATAAGGCATTATGGGTTATAACTATAGTTATCCTACTTATAAGCCTACTTACAAGTAACCATGAACCTCCAAGTAGGGCTAAGGGTTTTAGGGTAAAGGGTTTAGGGTTTAGCCCTCATTTGAGGAAAGGTTTAGGGTTTAGGGCAAGTTACCCCTTGATTAGCCAATAGGAATTAAAATCCACAACCGTGCGCTGGAGCCCTTTCGGATGAGGATTTAGGGTTACAGTTTTGTCTTTACCTCAGGGGTCTTGGTGTATTGATTCCGCGTTCTGGAGGGAGGCGGGAGGGGGCTGTCCTGCGAGATCATTCAGGGTTCCACCAAAGCTTGCATCCAGGGACTCCAACATCCCTGAACTAAGGAATATACATTAAATTCTGGTAGGATCCTTACTATGATTTAAGGAATATTCCTTCACTAAGGGATATTGGAGTCTCTGTGTTGGGAGTCCTCCATCTAGGCATCCTTTCGGGGCTGAGGTGTTCGGGGAGCCATGCACTGCAGACGATCTTAATCCATGAGCCTTAAAACTTTAAGATTTAGGGTTAAGGTTCAGAGTGCAGGGTTTAGGGTCCAAACCCATGAGCCTTAAAAACCGAAGCCCAAAATCCCCACTTGCACCAAAAAAGCAACTGTGAGCAAAATCACTAACACGCAAGCCCTCGACCCGTAATCTTACAATTCAAGAGGAAGCAGGGATCCCTCATACCTGAACCCGATCCTTCAAGAGCGAAGCAGGGCCTCTGTTGTTGGCTGATTTGGGGATGCTTCGTAGATAGGGGTTGAGGGTTTAGGGTTGAGGGTTTTCTTATTTGAGCCCATGGGCTTATGAGACGTTTCGGTAAAAAAATCAACAAGGCTACTCCTTTAGGATGTTAGAGTCAAAGCCGCTTCAGGGCTTTGGGATCGGGGCCTTTAGTGTTTTAGGAGTGATCACCTAGGGCTCAGATCATGTCAAAGCCAGGGCTTTCGGGTGCAAAGGTCATGGGTTTCAGGGTGATTGATTTCGCATTCAGTCTTAGTAGCGGTGTAGGTAACCTTTTTCTAGGGGGGGTGCTGAAATTCCAAGCCAACCCCAAAGGTTAGTTCCGTTAGGATATGGGGGTTTCCGAAAACAGGGTACTCTAATATGGTATAAATAGAAGGATCCTTATTATAAGGCCCCCCCAAATACGGTACCCTTAATTTTCGGAAACTCCCATCTTGGCCAAGTAAGAGTGCTCCGGGCACCGGCTCCAGGTTCTTGAAGCTCTGCACGATAACGAGACGGACGTCGAGCATTTCTTCCGTACGACAGACAGCGCCATGGCTGTTTGGTAGGGTTTGAACTGTTTTTTTTTTTGTGCCAGTGGTTTTGGGCCCCCCGCCTCCACGTCCCCTCCCGCCCAAGTCTATGCACCCTTTCCGAAGCAAGGTTCAATAGGGTTTTAATAGGAATAGGGTTTACACAGGGTTGAAGTAGGTTTTACCTTCTCAGAGGATCATGGGACTCAGTAAGCGGGTTTAGAATTGGGGTTATGAGTCCCCTCGGGAGGGGGTTATCCGAATTATAACCTACTTATAGCCTTACCTACTAAGTCCCATGAGCCTTGAAGTAGGGGTGATGATGATATAAATCCTGCATTACCCATAATACATAAGGAGTATACCATAACTCCCATAGTTTAGGGTCCTTCAGGTAATGCAGGATTTATATCATCAGCCGTAGGGTTGGGTTTCAGCAGGGGAATCTTTGGCTTCACGCGAACTCCCGGGCAGGGCCCCCTTGGCAGCTTTGTCAGGCAGTTGCCCAAAAGGGGCCCAGGTACTGTTATGGGTCTCTTTGAGGGTACCTTTGAAGGATCTATAGGGTTGCCTTAAAGGGCTCCTTTCAAGGATCTACAGGGGTACTGTTATGGGGAATATTTCCCTAGAAAATTTTAATTCCTGATATGGAACTCCTACATGCAACTATATAGGTAAATTGGAGCCGCAACGGAGACCGCACACTGCCGCAGGAACTCCTGCAAGTCGGCGGGCCCTGATGGCTGGTCTCCAGACGCGCTTCTGGCTCTCCGCGGGCCTGCCCTCGCAAGCACCTTCCATTGCTGTATCGACAGCCAATGACATGACAGCGAGCTAAGAGAAATGAGGGGTCTCAACTTCCCTCTTCGAGCGCTGCGAGCAAGAGGGTCGTTTCCCGCAGGCTCAATGCCACTGGAGATGTATCTCTCTGCCAAAGGCCGCAGATGTCTGGCCCATTGCCATTGTGCAGCGCGAATTGGGCAATGTAAGGTAAGAACAACCCAGAGAGCCCAATACCCCTTAATTAAGGAATATACCTTAAATAATAAGGGGATTCTTATTATGATTTAAGCTATATTCCTTAATTGAGGGGTATTGGGCTCTCTGGGAATCGCGTTAGGCTTCAGTCCTAGAATGAAATTTTGGTTTGGTTAAGTTACACAGGGTTCGGATCCTCTTAGGGCTGTATAGTGGAGGGTTTGTCTTCATGTGTCTTTACCTGTCTTTGTTTGGCTTTCAGTTGTCGTTATGTGTCATTGATTGTCTTTAACTGCCGTTACTTCTCTTTATTTGTTTGTAAAAACTTGTTATGCCTGTAAGGTTTAATTCGCATTTCGGGGATTTGGGATTTCGGGCTTCGTGGCTCTAGGTCTCGAGGTTCTAGGGCCTAAGGGTTTCGGGTATTCGGGCTCTTTGCCAGCTTCATGCCCAAACCCTCTAATTTCCAGGGTGATGTGCGTTTGACGAGGACGACGATGACCATGACGACGACCCAACTGACCAGTCCATGAGAAGGAGCGGGAGGAGGAGGAGGAGGAGGAGGAGGAGGAGGAGGAGGAGGAGGAGGACCTTTTGGAATACACTCCTTCACAGCAGATCCTGACCAATGCGGCGTGCGCGTTTCGAGCTTAAGAGTACTGAACCCTAAACCCGGATCACAAAAATGTCACCACAACTCAAAAACTCTAACCTAGAAGCCCTACACCCCGTCTCTGAGGCATCGAGCGGATCTTCAAGGATTTGGAGCCCGATTTCATCGACGTTGCGGCTTGGCAGGGGTTTTCGAAACTGTTTCTAGGTTTGGGCGTTTCCCCCAGGGTAATAATCATATACTCTCCAAAGTCTTAGAATTAATTACTATCCTAAAACCCAGTACCTAATTATTAGGCCCCTGTACTATAGAACCCTTATAGCAGCCATTATAGTAGCCTCTTATAGACCTCCTTTAAAGGAACCCTTAAACCCTATTCGGTCCTTTGGACCCTTGGGGTTTTGGCAAGGCTTACTTTATAAGGTGTACTCAGACCCCCGGGAGGATCCAAAAAGTAGATCCCTTGATGGGTGTTCCTATACAGTACCCTTAGTAGTATAGGGCCCACATTAGGGGATCTACTTTCTAGATCCTCCCGGGGGTCTGGGTACTCCAAGAGATCTATAGGAACTCCTTCGAGGACTTGGCTTCAAGGGCATACTGCTCGCAGGGTACATCTAATGATCTAAACCCTGCATTCCCCATAATAAGGAATACAGCATCATGGCCATAGTCTAGGGCCATTAGGGTCATGCAGGATATATATATATATACATATATACACATATTCTATGTATATATATATATATATATATATCATCATCATCAAGCGTATACTTCCCTAGCTGAGTTCTCTGTACAGTAGCAACTTTTTCTCTCAGTTCTCATAAGAGCTGCAGTGTTATTCTTCTTCTCCTTACGAGTAATTACCATGAGTAACTATCTTCACTGTGTTCTCAGCTTTTGAAGTTCTTTCCTTGGGCATTCGGGAGGTAAGTAAACGTAGCTTTCCTGAAAAGATTGTATCAGCCGGCCCTGCTGTAGAACCCTAAACACGCTAGAACCTTTAATCTCTGGGAGTTTCCGAAAATAGGGGTTAGTATGGCGGTGCCACTGCCGGTGCTGGCGCTGGCACGATTCCCAAATAAAGGCGATGGCGGCTAGAGTTGGTTCCAGTACCACTCCCGTCCTTGCCGCTGCTAAGATGGTGGTTGTTGCTGCCAGTAAGTGTCGATGTGCATTTCCACCCCCGCACCAGGGAGCTTCAAAGTATAGGGTCCTCTAACTGCTAACGTACCTACTCCAACCCAAACCCCCAAACCCTGAAACCTAAGCCCTAAACACTAAACCCTAAGAAAAAACCTTAAACCCCTAGCCGCTAGCCCCTAAACCGATGCGTTGCACTCCTACCTCTGTGGTATGACGTTCCTGTTTGATGCCCTCTCTCGTATGCGGGATCTTTCGTCATTGGGCGGACAGAGGAGCTCTCAGAAAAACAAAAGCCCTAAACCCTGAACCCTAAACTTTTACGCCCTGAAACCTAAGCCGCGGTCTTCCGAAACCCCTGGGCTTTTGGAGTACCATACTTCGATGTTTTTTTCTTAAAGGAACCATTATGAAATGAAAGTTTATACTTTTTCTCCTTGGTTAGTTAAAAGCCCAGACCCTGGGCCAGGTGCCATCATAGGGTTCATATTAAGGAATCCCTACCCCACGAACCTTAACCCCCCCCCTTGTGGCCTCCCATCAGGTGCATGAGTCGAAGTTCACTCGCTTCGACTCCGAGCACCTCGAGCCAAGTGATGTGTGTCCCTAAGGCTCCATGTACCCATATAGTAGATACTTAGGCCTTAATTAAAGTACCTATATAGCTCCATGTACCCATATAGTAGCTACTTGGGCCTTAAAGGGGCCCCTCTATAGGTACTTGAAGGCCTAAGTATCTACTATATGGGTACATGGAGCCTTAGGGTGTTTGGTTGTCAGAATGAGGGGACCGGGTCCCTAATGTAGTACAGCACCTATTATTTAAGGCACATCATTTTGACAACCACCCGTGTGATTTTTGACGGTGGCGAAGCGATTGTAGGTGTTATGATGGTTTAGGGTTTAGGGATTTAGAGGTAAGGGTTTAGGGTGTACAGATTCAAGGTTTAGAGTTTAGGGATTTAGGGTTTACGGATTTAGGGTTTAGAGCTCACGGATTTAGGGTTTAGGGTTTACGGATTTAGGGTTCAGAGTTCAGGGATTTAGGGGTTAGGGTTTAGGGTTTACGGATTTAGGTTTTAGGGTTTAGGGATTTAGGGTTTAGGTTTCATTGGGTGTATGTCGGAGCAGGGGGCGTGTTCAGTGTGGGTTTCCAACCATATTTGTTCTGGTTCAGAAGGCTTTGTCGCGAAGAGCTGGGTATAGGCTGGCCACTGCACGGGGTTCACGCTTCATGGTCGTAAAGTAACCAGTGACTCCAATATCATATCCGGTTATTGAGGAACCCTGTGCAGCTTAATTGCTTAAAGACATGTATTCATTACAGAGTTTTGGGGCCTTTGGTTACAGGACATATCCTAGCTTACCCTCGACCCTAAATTCCTTATTGATCGCCGGGTTCCGGGATGTGTGCGGACTCAAGGGTTTTAGGCTTAGGCTTTGGGGTGGCGGTTGTGGCTTGCATCTTGAAGTCTCAGCCACAACCCCAAACCGCAAAGGACAAAGCCAGACAGCCCAATATCCTGAATAGTCAGGAAGGTACCGTAAAATATCCTAGGCCCGGAAAGGAGGCAATTGAATGTAGGTGCCATAACAAGTAGAAATAGGGTTTAGGCTTCCTTTACAATCTAGTTATGAAAAAATCTTCGGAATAGTATTCGTAGTTATTGAGGCCTCCTTGAAACTGAAAGTCTAGTTATAAAAAGCGCTTGGTAACAATATTCGTAGTTATTTAAGATTTTATACCAGTATCTTCACGATCGTCACCATTATCTCAGTATATTCGCATACTACTTTGGTGCAAACACAGCAGCTCGTAAGATGCTGCAAGTAGCTACCGTAAAATCAGTAGCTTCAAGTGACAGACGGGCATACTCAAGAGGGGTTTGCAGTTTGTGAGTTTCTTGCCCGTTTGCTTGTTTAAGACCTTCTTCAAACATGGGGCGCAGCTGCGCGTAGGGTATCTGCTAGTAGTTCTGGGGCTCGCCAGGCAGTTGACGAATCACGTATGCAGCATGGCATGGCTGGTTCACAAAGACAAGACCCTAAATCCTAGCAAACCTGCCAAGCCTCAAAGTATAGATGCCGTCATGCACTACAACGCTTGACCATGAGCTAGCATATCATCGTATATTCTAGTGACGCAGATTGTAGCAGTCCTGCAACCCGGAAGCTCCCAAAGCCGAAAAGCCCCAAGGTACAACCGCATGAGCTGCTACGAGAAGCTGCGATTCTGGCTCCAATCTCACAAGTTTGTATCTCAGCGGCACATGTTATACTTTCAAAAGCCCACAGCTGCGAAGAAACCATCCCATTCTAAACTCCAAGCCCTAAGCCCAACAACCAGAAACATCCCAAACAGATCAAGGATGTAAGCTAGCGACATTCAACCGTCCTATCCATGCACACACAGTCAGTGTGTGTGTGTGTGTGTGTGTGTGTGAGGTGTGTGTGTGTGTGTGTGTGTGTGTGTGTGTATGTTGCGGGTGTAAGTGGTTAGCAGCCGAACCAGCAAGGCCACAGAGGTAGTACAATAACATTCCTTAGGTTTCTGATTCTAATTCTACTATGAAGGAGCCCGAAACCCTATTCGGCCCTCTTCTACTTATTAAGGCCCCTACATTAGCATGAATGTTGTGTGCACAGTTTTCCGCATGCTTACAAACCACAGGTTCACCACTGTAAAAAGACTTGGCTGCCCGTGCCCGACGGCCACAGAGGTAGTAAAAAATGCTTGTTTGGATTAGGTATTCAAAGACCCGCATATTATGTGTATATATATATATGTATATTGTACTATACTGCCTCCTGTATATCGTAGAGTGTGCATGTATGCCTTGTTCTCTCAACAGTATGCCTGTGCATCTGGATTGAGGGCCAGTAGAGAAGCATGCATATGATGTAAATACATACCTGAATATAGTATATCGGGAGAGATATGGACATCGACGTACATATGCGTGTATGTATATATATATATATATATATATATATATGTATATACATATGCATGCATGTACATGTACATGTTTATTTGCATGCATAGTTTTCTTCATCGGTGTTTATGTTAATTTTCGCCGGTGTGTATGTATGTATGTACTTATGTCTGTATGTATAAGTATGTAAGGCTCAGCAGCGACTGCGACTCCTACACGGAGTCGGTAGCCCCCCTTTCGGGGCTTGGTGTGGTGCGGTGTGTGGTTGGTGTTGTGCGGGGTGGCTTTCTTCGTTTGGTGGTCGTTGTGGGTTTCCTTCGGAAGGTGCCGTGCATTTCCGCCATGGTATCAGATTCGCCCGTGAAACTCCGCAGACTGACCTTGAGTGGCGAATATTATGCCACCTAGCATCCAACAAGATCCATGGACAGCACCTGTGCACCACGGCTGGTGTCAGACTCAGATTGGGCAGTGCTTGCAAACATTTGTGTGTGCTGCTCAGCCTAGCGTGTGTCCATCTTCAGGGCAACGGGCCAATGCCAAGCACATCAGGTCAGCCTTGTCAGCTTGACTCGCCGTATTCTGCTCCTGATTGCGACTGGCCCAGGCTCACCATTCCATCCGTTGCCCGGAGCTCGTTTCTCTGGCAAGCAACCCAGGGGGCGTATACAGCAGCGGTTACTCACACGAAGTCCCAGCATGCAACGCCTGCTCCTCAAAACTGCGATGCCATATCCATTACAATGCCAACAACGGCACCACGACCTGTCATGCTCCACACGTGGAGGCACCTCTGCTTCTTACCAGCCGTGGCCTCATTACAGCATAGTCAAGCCAGCGAACAGTTCGTATTCAACCGTGCCTTCAGGCTGCCGCGCATTGTACATCTGGAGGCTATGGATTAGAGCTGGTATACTCACTTTGGGGACAAAAGATTGCTTGCATGCGACGTCTGCCCTCACCTTACATGTGCAGGTAGGACCCGCTTATCCTGTAAGCCACGAGGGTTTAGGGACGGCTGGGCCTCTGTGCGATCCGTGTCAGCCTTGGAGTGGTCCATGCCTTGGTGTCATTCACCCTGGCACCATCCCTTTGGATACGCTCCGACTCACACGGCCCAGGTTTGAGGCCACCTCGCCTTTGGCCGTCGCCTTGACTATGCCGATTTGGCCTCATGAGTCCCATTACCTGCTGCCACCAAGGTTTGAGGCTACCTCGCCTGGTGTGCTGCACTCAGCTTTGGGATCAACCATGCTTCGTCACATGTTTTGCCACATGAATCAAACCGGCACCGCACTATCCTGCCACCCCAGGTTTGAGGCCTCCTCGCCCGGCGTTCTCTGCCCAGCTCCGGGCCCTTTTCCCCTTGAGCACGATTGCTTCCTCTCTCAGCCAGGTCCCGCTGACTCTGCCAACGGTCTCTCAGCTGAGCCCTTCGTCCTCAGCTCAGCACTTGTTCTGCTCGCTCGACCCAATCAGGAATGTCTTGTACCTTACTCCTCAGAGTTCGTTTTGCCAGCTCGGTATCGCCTGTCCATAGCAAATTGGGCTCTGCAGAAGGACATCGACGGGACACTGCGTCCCCTTTCATCAGGTGCTGAGCGATGGCGAAACGACGGGCGGCTGAGACTGGCAATGGAGGAGCAGGAGGCGGACGAGGCCGTGGCAAGGCCAGAGCCAAGGCCAAAACGGCTCCCGAGGCGGAGTCCAGTGATGAGACGTCGTCTCCCCTCTCACCGGACTCCGAGCCGGATCCATCCGCCAGACCGATGGCATCCTCGCTTCCAGCTGGACCTCCGCCTCCGACTCCGGTCAACCTGCCTGGACTCTCGAGTGCTGCTGGCTCTCCGCCTGTCAATGCCCGACCGGCTGGACCACCTCCGCCTAGCCCTGCATCGACACCTGGCGTATTGCCGGCGACTTTCACTACAGACCCGGCAGGTGCTTTGCGCGCCTCAGCAGAGATGTGAGTCTCGGTGGGCACGCCAACCCCAACGACAAGACCAGGACCTTCGACTCCAAGGGCGCCCACTCTCACGACCAGGGCTGTGGTCGTCTCAGCAAAGCGCTCCAATCATGGTTCCAATACCTCCGCCGGGGATCCAGTACATTGTACGAGTCAGTGCCATGGTGGAGAGGCCTCGACCGCCGTCATGATCTTGATGATCCTTCTTGCCCTGTGCTCTTATCGCACACAGCGACCGAAAAGGCGAGGGCTCTTAGTTCTTCCTGGGTTACAGGGAGATCATTTTGCAGGGACCTCTACCTGCCGTCACCGCCCAAGCTTCACTATGCTGCACTTGAAAAGAGCGCTGGCCGACCCTGCAGAGAGCTTGCATTGCCGAGTATAGGTCCTCTGTGTCTCGATCTTGCGAATTGTGCTGCTCTCAGGCCTCCCACTGACTCAAATAGTGCACAGCCCTTAGTTGTCTGGACGTGGTGCACCTACTGGACTTATGCTCAGCTAGTCTCCGACAGGTGTTACGACGATTCCTCTCCTATGTGGTCGGCGTCTCACGTCCGGGCCTCACAGCCTGTCACATCGCAACTGGAGCTTCTCTTCTACCATGGTGACGCCTCCTGGGCAGCCCAGAAATGGGGTATGAGCCAGCTTTACATTGGCAATAGGGCCCAAGCTAGCCTTACGGTGCCCCAGCAGTCGTCCTGGATTGCAGTGACCAGTGATTCCCTTCTCATTAAAGTGCCATGGCCCACTCAGATCCCTCCTCCTCGGAACTTGAGGATCGGGCTCCGCTCCTGCATCTTATGGGAGCTCCCAATGCAGAACCGGCCGGACCTCCAATTCCGACACCTGTGGCTGCTCGCAACACCCATGCGCCACGCACCCCAGAGACTGCTGCTATTGGTTCCACACCACCTGGACCTGCGCGACGTGCCCGACGTAGTCGAGGAGGAGACCAGCACTCACGCAGCAGAAGCCCACTACGCCCTCACTCCATGTTCTGGGAGGTTCCTCCAACGACGATCCGACCAGTTCGGGGGCAAGTTCTCACAAGCACTGAGGGCCGACAAGAGGTCACCTTGGAGATACCCATTGATGTCTCAACGCTGGCAGCGACGACTCCAAGCAGGGTCCTGGCCATTACCATTCGGCTGCATCCGTATGCTGGAACCCCCTCATCCTAGATGTGGGCCGGTGACTGCCTTATTTTCTTCCTACCGGCGCAATGGCTGGCTACACTGTCCCCCCTCTGGTGGGTCGGAGCTCTCTTTTCCCCACCCCATGCATTGGGAGCAAAAAGTGCTGCTACCTTCTGAGCGTCTTGCCTGTGAAACACTCCTTGCACGATGCACGACCATTTGTCCCGTCATACATCCTGTTGTGCTCTATCAGCTTGCCACCCAGGTGGGCTCTCATTCCAGGACACACTTCAGGAAGCCAGCGCCTTGGTTCCAGCATGACTTCAGCCAGTGTGGTTTTTCCACAAGCCAGCAGTCTGTGACACGACGAACTTGGATGCCCTTCCATCCTGGCTGTGTGGGCCTCAAAGCACCGTGCTTGCCGGAGTCAACCACAATAGTCTCTACCGCCTCCTGCATCTGTAGTTCATGGCTGAGCAACCGAGTGCGCCCATGGCCGAGACCCATCGTGCTTCGCATGCCACTACTACAGCACTGCCCGTGTCTCACGATTACGATACAGACACAGGGAAGGAAACTCGACCGGAGGACACCGACCCCAACTCTCCTACAGAGGGAGACCTCTTATATGCTGCCCAAGTGGCCGAGCAGGCTTATCGCCGCTGGCAAGCAGAGATCCGCCCTGAGGTTGCCAGCTGGGCCACAACTCCAGGCACATTGTCCATTCGACAGGCCAGTCGAAGCCGAAGCCCGCGGCGCTCCACCCCACCATCTGCTTCTACACAGCAGGCGAAGTGCACCGACTGACATGCTGCTAGGTAGCGAGGTCTCACTGCATTACGGTGATGGACCAATGCATTTGGCACGGATTACGCACCCCACTGTGCTCGCGAAAAGCTGGCCTGCCTCAATGTGGATTCCCAGCATACTCGATACATGGCCATCCCTCTCCTACTTTGCTCGCCCAGGTTCGAACAACGTGCTGGACGAGCCCTGGCCATGGCAAGAGAACTCTCTCCCACCGGACGTCGGACACTCGAGATCTGATCTGCCTTGTGTGAGATATAACTGTTGTGCCCTGCCTCCACACGCAGCACCATACCGCGTTGCTGATGTTGGCTCAATGGTTCATTGCTCCAGGCCTATCTTTTTCTGCTCTCCATGGAGCCCATGGCAGTCTATCAAACTGCCCTGTCTCGGCTCTCTCCCTGAGGCCC